CATTTTGCAAACTATATGCAAAATATTATCAGGTAATAGATTACTACATGGTCCAACAGAAGAAGCAGTAACTATTTTCAATGATTCAGTAACTCTTTAGCAACACTACCATAATATTATGTATTAGAGAAAGAAAATAAACAGGACAGCCTAAAGTGAGCTTCCCACTTCATTCCTAGGCCTAGCAGCAATCCTAAACTTTGCTAAAGCTATTAACCATAGCCATTTATTTCCTCAGTCTGGATCTTAAAGCAATCATATGTCAACACCAACAAAAAAGAAAAATTCAGTAACTACAGCTATCTGACTAAGGTTTTCCAGGCATCATTGTAACTCAATAACTGCTCTACTGTGCTCTGAACTCTACAGCTTCAAGCTGGAAGTCAATCTAGGACAACCAATAGAAAGTGCACCTGTACAATTACTGCATTTCCTAATTCAGAAGGCCAAACTGGAGACAGATAAAGCTTGTGTGTACTCAGATCACCAAAACAGAAATCCAAAAGCCCATACATCTTTCCTACATATTGCTCATCTATCTTATCTTTAACTGCAATTAAATATACCATCTATACAGTTCAGAAACATAAAACTACGTTCCTTAAGCAGTGCGCATAAAACTTGATTCTAAATTAAATGTCTCTACAAAGCACCTAGAGACACTATACATGCAATAATTTCAAAATCCTTCACGTAAAAAATAACCACCGAGTTAATCAAAATTAATTCTTAAAAAAAAAAAAAAAATCATCCAGTAACCGAACAGCACCACACACAGTAATTTAAAATATTCAACATTAACTCCATGCTACATTAAAAAATAATCTGCCTCATAAAAAATCATCTGCATGATTTCAAGGAAGGTAACCTTATTTTTAAAAACTGCAGCAATCTATTATTTTTCCAGTAAAAGAAAAAAATATATATTAATATTTATCTTTTGTACTCTAAAATAAAGCCTAATGAACGCTGCTAGTAATTGATAACAATATAATTTATCCCAAGCAGTCTGTCTTCCTGCTGATGTATTTTCACTCACTGCCTGGCCCCACTGAGCTGTAAACAACTTTACATACAGGAACACATTTCAGCGCTTCAAAAATTAAACTAAGTTTCTGTAACTGCAATAACAGGATCCCTCAGTAACTGTCCTTTAGTACCACCGTTCTGAAACGATCAGCAGAAACGTCTCCCACATATCCCGTTTATATACTGAGGATCACTTCAAAGTTTAAGGCTTGCAGATGTAAAATGCAAAGAAAATAGCTGCAAAACATAATTACCTTTAACCGAGCACTGCACCAGACAAACAAGGAATTGGACGTATTTTCAGGTCTGCATTACAGCATTTTTAAAGAGCGGGGGTATTTTTGTTATTGCACGCAACAAAAACCAAACACAATCCCACACTCACGAATACCACAGCAACAGCTTGGTAGCACTCACCGCAAGTAATACTGTTTTAAAGCGAAGGCAGCGTTAGAACAACTTCTGGGAAAGTTGAACTCCTCCACGATCTCACCCCACTGGTTCTTCTCGGAGACCTGTCAGAACAACACAGGCCCGATGCACACCGTGCCCCCAGCACCGCTCCACAGAGCCCACCGAAACAGGGGGCTGCCACGGAGCGAACGGATAAATATACTGAAATAAATAAACAGGAACGCGTGTGGGGTCGGGGCCGCATTTCCTGCTGACAGCCTTTCCTAGCCTTTCCCCCCGGGAATCCCCCCGCTTCTCCCCGGCGTTCCCCCCTCCCCCTCCTTCTCCTCCTTCCCCCCACAGCCCCGATTTTTATTTTTCACGCCGCGGGGTCGGGCAGGAGGGTTCGGCCGTTCCGGGGTTTGTTTGTTGTTGTTTCCCCTGCCTGGACAATAACCAATCGCCAGTCCCTCTGTCGCCCCCTTTTAAATCCTGCCGCGGTCCGTTAAAACCCGCACGAGTTGCCCACAATGCGGGGCGGTGCGGGAGGGGCGCCCCCTGGGCCGCGGGGTCCTACCGGCGGGTCCCCCCGGGCCGGAGCCACAGCCACGGAGAGGCCTTTCTTTTGAGGCCTACATCTCTGTCCCCAGCCTCGAAGCCTAAAGATGGCTATTTGATTACACACCGTCTCGGGTGCCCCTTTTGTTATTTTTCCCCGGGAAGGGCTCGGAGGGCAGCGCCCGGCCCCCCCCGGCCGCGAGGCTCGGTTCCTAGCCCATGCTCCGTGCCGATTATCGATGTTAAACATGCCCGCTAATTTTGAGTTGCACTAAAACTGCGCTCAGACTCTCTCCTCTTTCCGTCTGCCTGAGAGAGAGGCGGGCAGAGCCGCAATCACAAGCGAAACAAACTGCCCCTCGCGGCCCCGCTCCCCCCCTCGCCTTCCCCCGGGGCCCGGGGGGGGGGGGGGGGGGGGGGGGGG